CCCACACGCACAAGACAAATGCACATGCTATCCTCTGAATGCAAAACGTGCTCGATAGTGTTGCAATTCTTTTCACATCATGTCTGTTCATCTCTGAATGCATAGTAGGAAATGGAGAGAGGGTCTTCAGAACATCTCTGAATTCATTTCAAAGGGAGAACACAAGATAAGTTGGATAAAAAGGATGAGCGGGGAGACACTGAGATTCACCCAGTCCCTCACTTCCTAACCAGCACTGGGTTTGTCCCACTGCGCTTCTGAGGAATGCCAAGAACTCACAGCTGCAATGAACTTAAACTAGTTCTGTGACAAAGCAAATGAATGAGAACACAAGCAGAGGGAACATGAGCACGTAAACAAGGCTCTTTCTTCTCTGCTGTGCAATGACCTCAACACACTTTTTTTTATGAAACCCTGACATAAACTGAGGAGATCCAACAATTACTGAACAGCCTCTGCACAGAGCTGCTGTTGGAGGACAATTTAGTCAAAAGGATTAAGAAACGCACGCAGACCAGGTGTCTTTAGATAGGTTCCTTATTACTGCATCTGATTTCTCAAAAAGAACTTGTTGCATTCAACTCACAGTAGAGGTGTAAGAAAATATCGATACACTCGAAGTTGTCAAAATATTTTTTTTGATGTGATATTTATCGAATCCAACCGTTAGAAAGCATTGTTGTAAACGTAAACTGAGAGCTATGGTGTTGTCCCACTGTTCTGGGTCCATATAAAACTAATTGTATACATATGGTGGTGTGTTCTTTGTACTATGACAATTGTATGAGCTGTGTATGAGTTGAGACATCTGTCAATCAGGTCAAACACTTCCCAAAAACATGCCCATTTATAGTTTGAAGTTTCAAAATTGTTACCAAGACATACATACGATGAAGTAAAATTAGGTCATATTTCTAACTAAAAAGAAGTGATTGTTGAAGTGTTGAAGTGACCTTGAGCAAGACACCGAAGCCCAAACTGGCCAGAACCTCACATTGCAGTGTTTAAGTGCACTGGGAAGTGCTTTGAACTGCTCTCAGGAAAAAGCCACTAGAGGCAATAAAAAGTGCATCTCATAGTGGTTGTTGATTGAACAAAGCTGAGAGACCTTCCAAGGATTTATGGCCGTGGCTCCAGTTTTGACAAACAACTTCTTTGTTGATTTTAAACTGATAAATCTTTTTAATCAAAGAACCAAATTTGCACAAGTGATATTAATCCAGAAAGATACTGACAACAATATCTGTGTGTGTTAAGGTACAGTCTCACTGTTTAATATAGTCACACCCGTGCAGGTCAGTATTTACACTGAAGTCTAAATGACTGAGAATCAACTTGTGTAATCCATCTTAGTCATCGTGATTACAGCTCTAAAATTTTTGTTGTTCGGGATAATAATAATTTCCCCGTTCTAAGGCCAAACTGCACTGTGTTTGCTTTAAAGGTCTACTTTACTTACAATTTATTGTCATTTTCTGTATTTTAAAGCTGTAAATAGATAAACCAATCAACATTGTTCACTTTATAACAGCATGCATGCACAGGATGATAGTGTAAGGCACTCAACACAGCTTCATTATAACATGGCATTTTCCCTATGTTTGCCACAGTGTGAGAAACACAAGTATTCTAATTCATATGCATAGCGATTCTTACATCTACCATATAGCCCAGCCATAGACTAGCATGACTGCAACCCCTTCGTCAAGCATCTGTGCAGCACCAATTCTGAAAAAGGAGAACTATACAAAACAAGTTGCACAATGTTTAAAAAAAAACAAAAAAAAATCACTCTGGTTACACAGGGCGGCAGCAAGTTTTAGCTATAACAGTTCAACCAGGTCTAAGACAAGCCAGCTACAGTATCTGCTCGACTGCTGTGTAAGAAAGATGAGCCTTGGAGAGGAGGAAAGCTGATTTATTATTCTGCTGCCCTTCCGGTTAATGTCACATCAGCATCTGTTAACTCTGAATTCCTTCATTCAAAACAAGCAGTTCCCTGTAAACTAAATGTTTACAGAATTAGCTGAGCCTTACAGTAAGTGTGTGTCTATGTGAGTGCATGCAGAGTGAATGCTTGGAGCCAGATGGCAATCTGTCAAACAGGTTGCAAACACACACACACACACACACATTCCTTTTCCATAGCTTTCTGACTGTATGTGAATAATATGTGAAACTGAAATCAAGGGCATTTCTTCACATTTTGTTCCCATCTCTCTCTCTCTCTGTGTGTGTGTGTGTGTACCCACCAGTGGTCCGTACTCCCTACAAAGCTCTTTGAAAATAAAACCCAAATATGTGGAGACACTGCAGTCCATTCCCCCAGCTCTTCCTCTCTCTGCAGCTCTCTTGGCAAACTCACATGCCTTATGTTGAGCTTGACTCTATGGGACGAGCTACATCCTCACAGCAGACTCTAGTCCATGAAAACACAGTGAGTTTTAAAAGCAAATACTGATCACAGCCGACTCACACTGACCATCATTTGTGGGTGGAAGAAAGGACAAACCTTGGCCTCCAGCCAACACCTCTGCTAGAGCTCTGTACCAGTTTGCAAGACGCCTGTAACAGACTAAACGCTTCTTTAGGCGGTGAACTAAACAGTTCGTCTCAATTCATTCGCCATCACTGCTGGAATCAGTCCCAGCCGCTTTCTGGAAGATGTCAACTTCTTTATGCTTGTAAACCGAACTCGGGTCTTACGGTTTCCGCTTCACTGGAGCTATTTTCCACATACGCGCACACACACAAAACTTAGACCAAACTTCAGTTAGTGTTTGCTTAACCTACCTCTGGAAGTATGAAATGCTGTGCACGGCTAATAAGCTTCCATCGACCGTGAATATGCTGAGGTTGGTGTTGAGGCTCTCTGTGCAGCCAATCCTGAAGTCTGCAGAGGACTGGCAGCCAGACAGGCCAGCTAAACTGGCCTCGTCTAGAGCCGTACATACACTGGGTTGAGCGAAGTCTCTCCAACAGAACATCCTGTGAGGAAATAATGGATATGTGCATACAAGATCGTTTAATGAGACTACATATTATACAAAGCTGATTCAGTAACTTTATTTCTCTAACAGACTATTAGCTACGGTGGTTGTTAGCTAACTTAGTTTGGTAACCTAGCTCACAAGAAATGCTTTTCAATTAGCTAGCATTAGTCATATATGTTATATTGTAACAAAATATTTATTCTTGAGAATAAATACAGTTTAGCTAATGCTGTGTCCTGGTTATTAGACCCTCTTTGCATAGCTTATGCTATATATCATTCTCTGAAAACAGGCCTTGCTAAACTCATAACCCCTAATTTTACAGTGCAATTTTTTATTTTTTTATTTTCCCATATTTCTGGCAGGACTAGCTAGGAATTTTTGCTCCCTTAAAACAACTGGACAGGGCCCCTCAGCTAACAATTATCTATCATTTGTGGCAAGTTCCTCGGCCCCCGGTTCAACCCTGAATAATGGCCTCCTCCCATTCCAGAAAGCTAAATGTACCGCCAGTACGAACAGATAATTGTAGGTCAAGTACTCAAGTAGGACTACGTTACATTTCAGAAAGCAGCACTCTGTAGCCATCTGTCCTGAGCTGGCTCTCTTGTTCCTCCTCACCCTCTGATGACCGTTTCATTGACTCAACTCTGTGTATACACGGCTCTGGCTTCGGCTAATGCAGCTGTGCCGGCTGGGTCTCTTATCCGGGGTTTTAGCAGTGATGCAATGTTTCCAGATGTGGAACAAGAGAAAAATAAATCCTTATTAGTCTTGTCTAAGGAACAACAATAATTCCCCCCAACAAATCTGTAATACTAATTGTGTTTGTGGTGCATATATATTATTTCACTGAATCTGTTCTATAATCCAAGCCAATAACCTTAAAAGGTCTATTTGATTGGTTCTAATTGTTTTATACTTTAATATGATTTTACAATAGAACTTATTATAGGATTCATTAATGTTACTTACACAATCACTAAATCTGTGCATTTGGACAAAAATGGCACCAAATAGCACAATCACAGTCAAATAATGGGATCACAACCATCTTTCATATTTTACTTCCTACAATAAAGGCTGCATAATAAATGTGTGTCAGTGCGTTTATTGTGAGCTTATCATGAACTTCTGAAATTACACTTTGCGCCTCAAGTCTGATGAGTAAATTGGGGTTGGGTGGACAACTAGTTGGGTTATTTTGCCAGATTGCCTCCTCAGATTTGTTGGACAGAAACTTCCCATTATCAACCTCTACCAGTAAATGTACAGGGATATGGGCACCTCCTGCTGGATTGACACAGACATTCACATACAGTGTTTTACTGCATTAAGGACAGTCTATCTTTTTCTCACTAAATTCATGAGTGCACTGAACCACCTGAACTTCAGTCGTGTGTACAGATAGGGAGTAGTAGTAGAGTAGGAGACAACCTTATAGGCCTTGATATTTGTGGCATGAATGAAAGGAAACAGATGAACATCACATGGAGAGTTGGTTTTGTTCACTCTATTTACATGTAACACTTACACCATCACCACAGCCTCTAAATAAACATAGTTGAAAAATAATCATACCATTGAATCAAGCCCTCTCTGACAGTGTGAACAAATCCTCAACATAATACGCCTCTCAAACAGAATTTGTTGCTGGGCTGCTTTTTTGAATCACATTAGATTGTACAGATGTAGCTAAAACACAAAGGCTAAATTAATACATTGTAAAATTATCCAATTTTATCATGATTATTACAAATTATGTTGTTTACATGTCAGTGACTCCCCAGACAAAAACGAGTCTGAGCCTGTGTCTTGATAAATAATAGATTTTCTTTTAAATATTAGACATATACATTATATTTTTTCAACGTGTCTCCAGCAGACAAATGTATCATTCATAAATTGTTTCAATAAAACACTGTCAAGATGATTATTGTGTGTCCCTGAAAAATCTAAAATCTGAAAAGGTAAAAAAAAAAAAATAAAAACACACATACACACACAAATATTTTCATTATTTAATTTTAACTACTGATCTGTACACTTTTAATAAAATGTCAAAAGAATGAATATTATATACAGGTGAGGATTTCAGACTGCTGCAGATTTAAAAATATAAAACAGGAACTTCATTGAATGCCAGACAGAAGTATAATTTCTCTGCTTTGTCCAAACTATTCTGCATTACGACTGGGTTTCTCTGTACCTTTCTCCAGGTAACACTGGAGCAGGCTGTATGAACTCTGACCTATGATTCTGACTTAGTTTTGCTGCATCAATTTCCACCAATGGCAGTTTTCACACCTGGATTAACAATGGATGGATAGAGTCATCAAAGAAAGAGCCAAACATGATTGGCTCGTCAGAGAGTGCTGCTGCAATAATAAGTGGCTGAAAGCAGAAGAAGCTGATTGGCTGCTCAGATGCTCCTGGTGGAAAGGCACTGGTTGACCACCTCCAGCAGCGAGGAGTTCTCCAGGGCTGCTGCCACTCGCTCTTTGTCTGCTAGCTGTTTGTTCACTGCACACACACACACACAATATAAAGGGAAAAAATAAATGACATACAGTGGTAAATTTCCCTCACGTTTAACAATGAGCAGTAAAATCAGTATTAGGACTTGTGGGAAATCTATTATCTAATATCCCATCATGCCTGCTGTCTCCGTATGATTTTTACCTGCTTCCTCTGAGGCGTGAGTCCCAGGAGTGATGTGGACATCAATCTGAGTAGAAACAGAGAAACACACAGTGCTTGGACCGAAATCGAAAAACAAGACACCAACATACAGAAATCCCACATTGTACGTCATGTTAACTAACACTCAATCAAAGGAGGTGTTGTTCAACGTGCATCTCTACTACCAACACACACACACATACTTTGAACCGGTCTGGCAGGGAGCGTAGCAGCTTGACTTTGATTGACAGACCGATGAGTGTTGCCATGCTGCAGTGGGGGATGGTGGGTGTGAACTCAATACCCACAGTGCTCTCTGCATCACTAACCTGAGAAAAAGACAAATAGAGAGTTAATAAACAACATACTGCATGTAGTTATGCCATTTTTTCATTTTATTTATTTAGTATATAAATTAAAGTAAGTAATGCTTATTTTGCTGAAGAAGGATGGAGTGTGGAAGTTCACTTACATGTTGAATAGAATAAAGGGATGAATGGTGGTCAAGTTCAACCCTACCTACCCAACCCTTTTATTATTTTTTTTACTAAAATAGAGTATTGCTAAGCCCAGGGTAAGGTTGCTGTTTCTCCATTCACCCTTTTAGTAAACCTAACAAACCCCACCAAAACCCAGCGTACCTTGACACGGACTTGCTCCACGACATTGAGTTCCTCCAGAGACAGGGGATGCTCTGGATCGTTGATGGATCTGATCAGATGTACCTTTGAGTTAAAGAATTTATGACAACATAATAAAAACATCACATGCTTCCCTTTGATGTAGTCAATTACAGAATTAGTGTTTTATTTTGTTAAAAGTTATGTAATTGTTTGTATATTTACTGAAAAAAACCTATAAGCATAAAGCAATAAAATGGTAGAAGTAAGAAATATAGCACTAGTGTGTAGGGTTTAAGGGCGTCAAGTGGTGAAGTTTCAGAAGTTTTCACAACTACCTGAACACCCCTTGCGCCTGTATTTGACGACCTGGGAATTACAATGGGCTGTGGAGTGTATAGGAGAAACTACAGTAGCCACAAAACTTGTGAAAAATATAAAAGCCCCTCTGTACAGCCCGAGTCTGGGCTACTCCATGCAGCAGCAGATAAAACGGTTCATTCTAAGGTGACGAAAAAGAACCATATTCAAGTGATTATACACTAATTAAAACATATCTATGAATATCTTATTTCATTTCTGCCAATAGCTCCTCCTAGATATTACACAATAAACCTTAAAAATATTCTTAAGCAATGTATGAAGGCACACACTGACCAAAACTATGTTGGTTTAGTATAAAGGTACATACTTGAACACACACAAACAGTTCCACTGAAGTTTGAATGGCTGCAACTAATGATTATTGTCACTGTTGATTAATCTGTGGATCAGCAGCTTAGTTACTCCATCATTATTTAGTCTTTTAAATGAAACAAAATTGTGAAAAATGCTCATCATAACTTCCCAGAGAGAAAAGGTGACAACAGGTGTCAAACTGTTTTGTTTTGTCTAATAGTCCAAACATGAAAGACGAAGATACACACTGACACAGAGAAAACCAGACAATACACATTTCTGTCAAAACACTGAGGCCAGTGAGTGTTTGTGTTTTCTACTTGAATAACTTAAATGATTAGCCATTTTCTCAGTCAACTAACCAACTAGATAATCGTTTCAAATTCGTGGAATAAGTTATGTTTGAATTTTAAAATATACTGTAAATGTGTCTGTTCTAGACTGTAGTTATATAATATTTAACTCTCAATTTAAATGAATCTCATTAGCTTGATATTCCTGCCACATACACAATAAGAGGTTTTACGGTAACGTGCTGAGTAAAATTACCCAAACTAGTGTTATCTGTACAACCATTGACGCCATCTTTATTGTGCAATAGCTACAGTTTTAGTGTAACAGTTAAAGTAACGTTATCTGTACGGTGTAAAACCAGTCTAAACCACTGACAGTATATATAAATATATATATATATATATATGGTCTAAACTAGAGAAGAACAGTTAGCTGAACTCATCAACAGGATATCGAAGATTTCTCTGTCGTCGATGGGGTCGTGGACGTCTTCATCCTCGTCGGTCGCTGTCAGCAGCCTCTCCCCGGACCGCTGGAAGATCACAGGGTTTGCGTTCTCCAAACGGGTTCCCCCGGACATGTTTACACCTTCACTGAGTCCGCGTTATACAGTAATGTAGGTGATGTAGGTGATGTAGACCGCTGGTGCTGCACTCTGGCACCAACACAAACACTTCCTGAAATAACGGAAAGCGATAGAGTCCAAAAGAGTGAGGGAAAGCCTTAACGGGACAGTACACCCAACAAGTCGCTCCTGTAGATAGATAGGTAGTTGCCATGTGTTTTGGAGGGGGGAGACATTTAAACTGAAACGGCTCACATTATCATTGTTTTTATTGTGTGCCTTTAGTGTGTGCATGTGTTTTATTAGTTTCAGTTGTCTTAAAAATGTGATATCGTGTGTGCAATGTCCCTTTAACTGGTTGTGACTCTCTGTTTGTCCTACAGATGGCACAATCTGCACATTTTAGCCCCCAAAAGTAACCCATTAGAAGTTTGTGTGTGTGTGTGTAGTCTGCAATATACTGACAAATGTCTAAATGAGTTCTTAGAAGCACCTTATAGTTAAAGAACAAGAGCTATCCTTGAACAGAATTTAGGATTTAGTAGTAGGCATACCCAATGCCAACTGAAAAATAAAGTATGTATATTCTGTATACCTGTGTAAACCCTGCACTACATCACTGTGATTAATTTAGCTGTCTCAACTTCTTGAGAGTTTGTGATGACAATGTTCTGCTTGTAAAGCAGAAAATTAGGACACACTGTTTCTGCCATTTATTCGCTCATCCATTCAGTAGTTTGTTTAGATATGTGCACACACACCAGCCACAATCAGACCTATCAGATCTGACAGCTCTTCTATTGTTATGCTAAGGGACAATGCTGCTTTTTTCCATCTACAGTATGACAGGAGAAGACAATGTAGATCATGAGAGTGGGACAGGTGTGCTGGAGCAGAGCCTCCCCACCTGCTTCCCATCCTGTAATCAAGATTCCTACATAGACTCAGCTCCGCCACATCCACCTTGCCAGATCATAGTTCCTGCTCGGTCAGTCTGCGTTTCAAGCACATTTACTTTGCTCACTACCTGTTACTTTGCTTAATCCTGTTTCTCCTCTTCCTGCTCTGCTCCAGTCCCTCTATCCAACCCTTTGTCCTGTTGGCCTCGTCTCTCTGACCTGGCTCCCTGCTTCGCTCAGCTACAGTCCAGATTTAGCTTAACCAGCCCATGCCCAGTCCCCCGTGCTCCCAGGCTTCCCCTTTGCTCAGCTCATTCCTGGCTCCTATCCATTCCCGTAGCTTTGCAATAAATATTCTTATTCCAGTCTCCTTTCCTCACTCTGTCTCACACTCTGGTTCACTCAGCCGTAACACATATGAACACCTAATCCTTAAAAAACCTTGGAGATACATGGTTTTCACTGAAGAGGAAGCGTATGAAATAGTGTAATCTGAAAAGCAACCAGTAACTAAAGCTGTCAGGCAAATGTAGTGGAGTAAAAATAAAATATTTGCCTCCCGGATGAAGTGAAGTAAGTTGCATAAAATGGAAATACTCAAGTGAAGTACAAGTACCTTGAATTTGCACTTAAGTACACTACTTGAGTAAATGTACGTTACACTCCACCGCTGAATATAGCTCCCACAAAGTAATGTAATTGTCAGTTTATCTTGGTTAAAATGATGACATGGTCAAACTGTATTGTCTAATACAGCAATAGATATCCATTAATCTTAGAATATATAGTACTACACTGACCTCATCACTGGCAGCGTCTGCAGCAACAGCCGAAAGACTGATTTCATCAACACACAATCTTAATGAGCTGCTTAAGTCAGTGGACATGCAGGAGACCAGTCGATATGAAAAACTGCATTTCAGTGTTCACCTTTTGAACAAAATGTGCATACAATATAATGAGGATGCATATGGCTGCTGTCACCCACATGATGCGTGATGTGTAATAGCCTACAAAGGTCATGCAGAAGGGCAGATAGAAAGGGCAAACTATTTCCCTAATTGTGACACTTTGGACTAATAACCTTAAAATACATCTTTTTGATGCCAAACCGTTTTATGAAAGATGACTTGAAATAAGATAACATTATCTCTAACATGTACTTCTCTTTCTCTTGGTCCCTTGAAGGATTGCAGTAATCATATATAGCCATTATTAGCATACATAGACCTGCAGGGATTGTCACCAGAGGCAAAGGTGGCCATCAAATAGAAATTTATATTTTAAAATCTAATTTCAAATGATTGTTTGACAAAGACAGAATCTTAACAAGCTACTGAAGTCAATAAGTCAATAACAAATCAAAATCACTCATGTCTTATTTTTAATTCTACAGAAATCTATAAATCACATAATGTGGTACTGCAGAAATTACACCTGATCCTAAAACCCTAAGCATTTTGGGAAGAAAACTATAGATGAAAACTACATTTTGAAACAGGATGTCCCCATAATGCAGATTAATGCTGTGCACAACCAGAATGACAAATGGGAATATGCTACTGCAGCCTGTCGAGGGTCCTGGTGAGCTTTACATAGTCTGACATTACCTCCTGAGGAGAAAACAATGATATAGCCCTTTTAAAGTTAAAACACTTGAGGAAAAGAAAAATTTTTTGTGTCTATATAGTCCGAGTAGTATTTCTTCAGCATTTAAACCAGTCTTTTGAGTGTTTAAGTGTTTCAGTACATTGTGGGTCTCATATTTACACTGAACAAAATTATAAACGCAACACTTTTGTTTTTGCCCCCATTCATCATGAGCTGAACTCAAAGATCTAAGACTTTCTCTATGTACACAAAAGACCTATTTCTCTCAAATAGTGTT